GGTCCTGTGCTCTGGATGTGGACCACCGAGGAGGGTGGTGGTACAAGCACTGCAGTCGTGTTTTCCCCACGACTTTCCATAGATTCATGGGGACAGATTACTGGACGCCAGGTGACAGAGGCGACTACGTGTATCTCCAGCAGATGCGAATGATGATACGACCCCAGAACTTCCCAACTTGTCACTAGTGATTGTTGGTAAGATAATGTGCTGGTGAGCTGGGCGTGGTGCCTCCCTGTTACTGCCTTGTCTATTACTGCCTTGCCTATTACTGCCTTGTCTATTACTGCCTGGCCTATTACCGCCTTGCCTATTACCGTCTTGTCTATTACTGCCTTGCCTATTACTGCCTATTACCGCCTTGTCTATTACTGCCTTGTCTATTACTGCCTTGCCTATTACTGCCTTGTCTATTACTGCCTTGTCTATGTCTTACTGCCTGGCCTATTACCTTGCCTATGCTTGCTATTACTGCCTCCTATGTTGCTATTATTGCCTTGCCTATTACTGCCTTGCCTATTACTGCCTTGCCTATTACTGCCTTGCCTATTACTGCCTTGTCTATTACTGCCTTGTCTATTACTGCCTTGCCTATTACTGCCTTGCCTATTACCGCCTTGCCTATTACCGTCTTGTCTATTACTGCCTTGCCTGTTACTGCCTTGCCTATTACTGCCTTGCCTATTACTGCCTTGCCTATTACTGCCTGGCCTATTACTGCCTTGCCTATTACTGCCTTACCTATTACTGCCTTGTCTATTACTGCCTTGTCTATTACTGCCTTGCCTATTACTGCCTTGTCTATTACTGCCTTGCCTATTACTGCCTTGCCTATTACTGCCTTGTCTATTACTGCCTTGTCTATTACTGCCTTGCCTATTACTGCCTTGTCTATTACTGCCTTGCCTATTACTGCCTTGCCTATTACTGCCTTGCCTATTACCGCCTTGCCTATTACTGCCTTGCCTATTACTGCCTTGCCTATTACTGCCTTGCCTATTACTGCCTTGCCTATTACTGCCTTGCCTATTACTGCCTTGTCTATTACTGCCTTGCCTATTACTGCCTTGCCTATTACTGCCTTGCCTATTACTGCCTTGTCTATTACTGCCTTGCCTATTACTGCCTTGCCTATTACTGCCTTGCCTATTACTGCCTTGTCTATTACTGCCTTTACTGCCCTATTACTGCCTTGCCTATTACTGCCTTGCCTATTACTGCCTTGTCTATTACTGCCTTGCCTATTACTGCCTTGCCTATTACCGCCTTGTCTATTACTGCCTTGCCTATTACTGCCTTGCCTATTACTGCCTTGCCTATTACTGCCTTGCCTATTACTGCCTTGCCTATATTATTACTGCCTTGCCTGTTATTCCTCATTACCCTATTACTGCCTTGCTATTACTGCCTTGCCTATTACTGCCTTACCTATTACTGCCTTACCTATTACTGCCTTGCCTATTACTGCCTTGCCTATTACTGCCTTGTCTATTACTGCCTTGCCTATTACTGCCTTGCCTATTACTGCCTTGTCTATTACTGCCTTGCCTATTACTGCCTTGCCTATTACCGCCTTGTCTATTACTGTCTTGCATATTACTGCATTACATGTCATTCCTCACCTAATACTGCCTTGCTATAAGCGCCATGCCTATTGCTGCCTTACCTATTACTGCCTTACCTATTACTGCCTTGTCTATTACTGCTTGGCCTATTACTGCCTTGCCTATTACTGTCTTGCCTATTAGCGCCATCATTATTACTGCCATACCTATTACTGACTTGTCTATTAGTGTCTTGCCTATTACAGCCTTACCTATTACTGCTTTGCCTATTAGCGGCTAGCTATTACTGCTATACCTACTACTGTGTTAACTATTACTTCCATACCTATTACTGCCTTACATATTACTATCTTGCCTATTACTACCTTCCCTATTAGCGCCATGCCTATTGCTGCCATACCTACTTGTGCCTTTCCAATTAGTGATTAAACTATAACTACCTTATCTACTTATGCCCTTTATGGCTACTGCCCTTCCTATTACAGCCGTACACATTACTGATTTACCTATCACTGTCTTACCAATTAGAGCATTACCTATTACTGACTACTAATGATTACATATTAGTGACCTACTCGTGACTACGTATTAGTGTCATACCTACTAGTGCTTACCTATTAGTGCCTTACCTACTAGTGCTTACCTATTAGTCCATTACCTACTAGGGCTGAACTATTAGTGACTGACGTGGCAGCTTCAGCTCTTCATTCTCCGCATTTAAACCTTCTTAATGGTACCTGACTTACCTGATGCTACTGATAGTGGTGAGCTGGTACTTGTGGTGGTTGTGGTGAGCTGGTACTTGTGGTGGTTGTGGTGAGCTGGTACTTGTGGTGGTTGTGGTGAGCTGGTACTTGTGGTGGTTGTGGTGAGCTGGTACTTGTGGTGGTTGTGGTGAGCTGGTACTTGTGGTGGTTGTGGTGAGCTGGTACTTGTGGTGGTTGTGGTGAGCTGGTACTGGTGGTGGTTGTGGTGAGCTGGTACTTGTGGTGGTTGTGGTGAGCTGGTACTTGTGGTGGTTGTGGTGAGCTGGTACTTGTGGTGGTAGTGGTGAGCTGGTACTTGTGGTGGTTGTGGTGAGCTGGTACTTGTGGTGGTTGTGGTGAGCTGGTACTTGTGGTGGTTGTGGTGAGCTGGTACTTGTGGTGGTTGTGGTGAGCTGGTACTTGTGGTGGTTGTGGTGAGCTGGTACTTGTGGTGGTTGTGGTGAGCTGGTACTTGTGGTGGTTGTGGTGAGCTGGTACTTGTGGTGGTTGTGGTGAGCTGGTACTTGTGGTGGTTGTGGTGAGCTGGTACTTGGTGGTTGTGGTGAGCTGGTACTTGTGTGGTTGTGGTGAGCTGGTACTTGTGGTGGTGGTGTGTGGTGAGCTGGTACTTGTGGTGGTTGTGGTGAGCTGGTACTTGTGGTGGTTGTGGTGAGCTGGTACTTGTGGTGGTTGTGGTGAGCTGGTACTTGTGGTGGTTGTGGTGAGCTGGTACTTGTGGTGGTTGTGGTGAGCTGGTACTTGTGGTGGTTGTGGTGAGCTGGTACTTGTGGTGGTTGTGGTGAGCTGGTACTTGTGGTGGTTGTGGTGAGCTGGTACTTGTGGTGGTTGTGGTGAGCTGGTACTTGTGGTGGTTGTGGTGAGCTGGTACTTGTGGTGGTTGTGGTGAGCTGGTACTTGTGGTGGTTGTGGTGAGCTGGTACTTGTGGTGGTTGTGGTGAGCTGGTACTTGTGGTGGTTGTGGTGAGCTGGTACTGGTGGTGGTTGTGGTGAGCTGGTACTTGTGGTGGTTGTGGTGAGCTGGTACTTGTGGTGGTAGTGGTGTGATGGTACTAGTGGTGGTTGTGGTGAGCTGGTACTTGTGGTGGTTGTGGGACATGTAGGCGTCATGTTGACCGAAGGTGTTGTCTGCCAGGGTGGCAGGAAGTGCTCCAGGTGGGTCATGACCGAAGGTGTTGTCTGCCAGGGTGGCAGGAAGTGCTCCTGGTGGGACATGACCGAAGGTGTTGTCTGCCAGGGTGGCAGGAAGTGCTCCTGGTGGGTCATGACCGAAGGTGTTGTCTGCCAGGGTGGCAGGAAGTGCTCCTGGTGGGTCATGACCGAAGGTGTTGTCTGCCAGGGTGGCAGGAAGTGCTCCTGGTGGGTCATGACCGAAGGTGTTGTCTGCCAGGGTGGCAGGAAGTGCTCCTGGTGACCGAAGTGTTGTCATGACCGAAGGTGTTGTCTGCCAGGGTGGCAGGAAGTGCTCCTGGTGGGTCATGACCGAAGGTGTTGTCTGCCAGGGTGGCAGGAAGTGCTCCTGGTGGGTCATGACCGAAGGTGTTGTCTGCCAGGGTGGCAGGAAGTGCTCCTGGTGGGGTCATGACCGAAGGTGTTGTCTGCCAGGGTGGCAGGAAGTGCTCCTGGTGGGTCATGACCGAAGGTGTTGTCTGCCAGGGTGGCAGGAAGTGCTCCTGGTGGGTCATGACCGAAGGTGTTGTCTGCCAGGGTGGCAGGAAGTGCTCCTGGTGGGTCATGACCGAAGGTGTTGTCTGCCAGGGTGGCAGGAAGTGCTCCAGGTGGGTCATGACCGAAGGTGTTGTCTGCCAGGGTGGCAGGAAGTGCTCCTGGTGGGTCATGACCGAAGGTGTTGTCTGCCAGGGTGGCAGGAAGTGCTCCTGGTGGGTCATGACCGAAGGTGTTGTCTGCCAGGGTGGCAGGAAGTGCTCCTGGTGGGTCATGACCGAAGGTGTTGTCTGCCAGGGTGGCAGGAAGTGCTCCTGGTGGGTCATGACCGAAGGTGTTGTCTGCCAGGGTGGCAGGAAGTGCTCCTGGTGGGTCATGACCGAAGGTGTTGTCTGCCAGGGTGGCAGGAAGTGCTCCTGGTGGGTCATGACCGAAGGTGTTCTGCCAGGGTCTGCCCTGGTGGGTGGAAGGTGTTGTCTGCCAGGAGGAAGTGCTCCTGGTGGGTCATGACCGAAGGTCATGACCGAAGGTGTTGTCTGCCAGGGTGGCAGGAAGTGCTCCTGGTGGGTCATGACCGAAGGTGTTGTCTGCCAGGGTGGCAGGAAGTGCTCCTGGTGGGTCATGACCGAAGGTGTTGTCTGCCAGGGTGGCAGGAAGTGCTCCTGGTGGGTCATGACCGAAGGTGTTGTCTGCCAGGGTGGCAGGAAGTGCTCCTGGTGGGTCATGACCGAAGGTGTTGTCTGCCAGGGTGGCAGGAAGTGCTCCTGGTGGGTCATGACCGAAGGTGTTGTCTGCCAGGGTGGCAGGAAGTGCTCCTGGTGGGTCATGACCGAAGGTGTTGTCTGCCAGGGTGGCAGGAAGTGCTCCTGGTGGGTCATGACCGAAGGTGTTGTCTGCCAGGGTGGCAGGAAGTGCTCCTGGTGGGTCATGACCGAAGGTGTTGTCTGCCAGGGTGGCAGGAAGTGCTCCTGGAGGGTCGTGTAGGCGTCACATAGTTTTGTAATATATCACTTTACTTCAGTCATTTCTCATTTACTTTATTCAATTACTTAATGTTTTAATATTTTATATCACCGATATTTAAATGTCACTGATAATGAATAATGAAATAAATTATTAATTTTCACACTTTTGATCCTGTAATATTTTGTATCAGTGTAACTGGGCTGATAAACACTTTTGTTAGTGATAATTCTACCCCCCCCCCCCCCCCCCCCGTGGTAATGGGTTTATATCTTTGTATATCTTTTGTGTTCTGGAATGTATTCAGTTGTATATTTACTTGTGTTGCTTGGCTGTTTTATGTTGTATTTATTTGTGGTGGTGGTTTTCTGGCTTTTATTTATGGAATAATTTATGCAATAATGATTTATGAGACTTATATTTAGCCATTAAACTAATTTATTTATTTATTTATTTATTTATATATATACAAGAAGGTACATTGGGTGTGTGAGAATACATAGCATAGTAGAGTAATTGCACTCTTGTAAAGCCACAAGTACGCGCAGCTTTCGGGCAGACAATTTGTTTATTGTTGTCTATATATTTCTTATTCAGTTCTCTTTATTCCAAAATTTGACAACGAAATTAATTTAATTGGACAAAGCTAATTGTCAATTATGTAAACTTTTGATTTCTTCAGTTCTTGTTCTTGTTGCTGATTATTGTAATTTTGACTCTCGTAGTTATACAGTAAACTGTAAATATTAACCTGTTTAAATATGTAACATTTTGGTGTATACATTTGCAGTATGGAGTGACCAGCCCCAGGGACCAGGAGGTGACCCGTGACCAGCCCCAGGGACCAGGAGGTGACCCGTGACCAGCCCCAGGGACCAGGAGGTGACCCGTGACCAGCCCCAGGGACCAGGTGGTGACCCGTGACCAGCCCCAGAGACCAGGTGGTGACCCGTGACCAGCCCCAGGGACCAGGTGGTGACCCGTGACCAGCCCCAGGGACCAGGAGGTGACCCGTGACCAGCCCCAGGGACCAGGTGGTGACCCGTGACCAGCCCCAGGGACCAGGTGGTGACCCGTGACCAGCCCCAGGGACCAGGTGGTGACCCGTGACCAGCCCCAGGGACCAGGTGGTGACCCGTGACCAGCACCAGGGAACAGATGGTGACCCGTGACCAGCACCAGGGAACAGATGGTGACCCGTGACCAGCCCCAGGCACCAGGTGGTGACCCGTGACCAGCACCAGGGACCAGGTGGTGACCCGTGACCAGCCCCAGGGACCAGGTGGTGACCCGTGACCAGCCCCAGGGACCAGGTGGTGACCCGTGACCAGCACCAGGGACCAGGTGGTGACCAGCCCCAGGGACCAGGTGGTGACCCGTGACCAGCCCCAGGGACCAGGTGGTGACCCGTGACCAGCCCCAGGGACCAGGTGGTGACCCGTGACCAGCCCCAGGGACCAGGTGGTGACCCGTGACCAGCCCCAGGGACCAGGTGGTGACCACCAGCCCCAGGGACCAGGTGGTGACCCGTGACCAGCCCCAGGGGTGACCAGGTGACCAGCCCCAGGGACCAGGTGGTGACCCGTGACCAGCCCCAGGGACCAGGTGGTGTGACCAGCCCCAGGGACCAGGAGGTGACCCGTGACCAGCCCCAGGGACCAGGTGGTGACCCGTGACCAGCCCCAGGGACCAGGTGGTGACCCGTGACCAGCCCCAGGGACCAGGTGGTGACCCGTGACCAGCCCCAGGGACCAGGTGGTGACCCGTGACCAGCCCCAGGGACCAGGTGGTGACCCGTGACCAGCCCCAGGGACCAGGTGGTGACCAGCCCCAGGGACCAGGTGGTGACCAGCCCCCGGGACCAGGTGGTGACCCGTGACCAGCCCCAGGGACCAGGTGGTGACCCGTGACCAGCCCCAGGGACCAGGTGGTGACCAGCCCCAGGGACCAGGTGGTGACCCGTGACCAGCCCCAGGGACCAGGTGGTGACCCGTGACCAGCCCCAGGGACCAGGTGGTGACCCGTGACCAGCCCCAGGGACCAGGTGGTGACCCGTGACCAGCCCCAGGGACCAGGTGGTGACCCGTGACCAGCCCCAGGGACCAGGTGGTGACCAGCCCCAGGGACCAGGTGGTGACCCGTGACCAGCCCCAGGGACCAGGTGGTGACCCGTGACCAGCCCCAGGGACCAGGTGTGGTGACCAGCCCCAGGGACCAGGAGGTGACCCGTGACCAGCACCAGGGACCAGGTGGTGACCCGTGACCAGCCCCAGGGACCAGGTGGTGACCCGTGACCAGCCCCAGGGACCAGGTGGTGACCCGTGACCAGCCCCAGGGACCAGGTGGTGACCCGTGACCAGCCCCAGGGACCAGGTGGTGACCCGTGACCAGCACCAGGGACCAGGTGGTGACCAGCCCCAGGGACCAGGTGGTGACCAGCCCCAGGGACCAGGTGGTGACCCGTGACCAGCCCCAGGGACCAGGTGGTGACCCGTGACCAGCACCAGGGACCAGGTGGTGACCCGTGACCAGCCCCAGGGACCAGGTGGTGACCCGTGACCAGCCCCAGGGACCAGGTGGTGACCCGTGACCAGCACCAGGGACCAGGTGGTGACCCGTGACCAGCCCCAGGGACCAGGTGGTGACCCGTGACCAGCCCCAGGGACCAGGTGGTGACCAGCCCCAGGGACCAGGTGGTGACCCGTGACCAGCCCCAGGGACCAGGTGGTGACCCGTGACCAGCCCCAGGGACCAGGTGGTGACCCGTGACCAGACCCAGGGACCAGGTGGTGACCCGTGACCAGCCCCAGGGACCAGGAGGTGACCCGTGACCAGCCCCAGGGACCAGGTGGTGACCCGTGACCAGCCCAGGGACCAGGAGGTGACCCGTGACCAGCCCCAGGGACCAGGTGGTGACCCGTGACCAGCCCCAGGGACCAGGTGGTGACCCGTGACCAGCCCCAGGGACCAGGTGGTGACCCGTGACCAGCCCCAGGGACCAGGTGGTGACCCGTGACCAGCCCCAGGGACCAGGTGGTGACCCGTGACCAGCCCCAGGGACCAGGTGGTGACCCGTGACCAGCCCCAGGGACCAGGTGGTGACCCGTGACCAGCCCCAGGGACCAGGTGGTGACCCGTGACCAGCCCCAGGGACCAGGTGGTGACCCGTGACCAGCCCCAGGGACCAGGTGGTGACCCGTGACCAGCCCCAGGGACCAGGTGGTGACCCGTGACCAGCCCCAGGGACCAGGAGGTGACCCGTGACCAGCCCCAGGGACCAGGTGGTGACCAGTGACCAGCCCCAGGGACCAGGTGGTGACCCGTGACCAGCCCCAGGGACCAGGTGGTGACCCGTGACCAGCCCCAGGGACCAGGTGGTGACCCGTGACCAGCCCCAGGGACCAGGAGGTGACCCGTGACCAGCCCCAGGGACCAGGTGGTGACCCGTGACCAGCCCCAGGGACCAGGTGGTGACCCGTGACCAGCCCCAGGGACCAGGTGGTGACCCGTGACCAGCACCCCCAGCCCCAGGGACCAGGTGGTGACCCGTGACCAGCCCCAGGGACCAGGTGGTGACCCGTGACCAGCCCCAGGGACCAGGGGTGACCCGTGACCAGCCCCAGGGACCAGGGGGTGACCCGTGACCAGCCCCAGGGACCAGGGGTGACCTGTGACCAGCCCCAGGAACAGGTGGTGACCCGTGACCAGCCCCAGGGACCAGGTGGTGACCCGTGACCAGCCCCAGGGACCAGGTGGTGACCCGTGACCAGCCCCAGGGACCAGGTGGTGACCCGTGACCAGCCCCAGGGACCAGGTGGTGACCCGTGACCAGCACCAGGGACCAGGTGGTGACCAGCCCCAGGGACCAGGTGGTGACCCGTGACCAGCCCCAGGGACCAGGTGGTGACCCGTGACCAGCCCCAGGGACCAGGTGGTGACCCCTGACAAGCCCCAGGGACCAGGTGTGGTGACCAGCCCCAGGGACCAGGAGGTGACCCGTGACCAGCACCAGGGACCAGGTGGTGACCAGCCACAGGGACCAGGTGACCAGCCCCAGGGACCAGGTGGTGACCCGTGACCAGCCCCAGGGACCAGGTGGTGACCCGTGACCAGCACCAGGGACCAGGTGGTGACCTGTGACCAGCCCCAGGGACCAGGTGGTGACCCATGACCAGCACCAGGGACCAGGTGGTGACCTGTGACCAGCCCCAGGGACCAGGTGGTGACCCGTGACCAGCCCCAGGGACCAGGTGGTGACCCGTGACCAGCACCAGGGACCAGGTGGTGACCCGTGACCAGCCCCAGGGACCAGGTGGTGACCCGTGACCAGCCCCAGGGACCAGGTGGTGACCCATGACCAGCCCCAGGGACCAGGTGGTGACCCGTGACCAGCCCCAGGGACCAGGTGGTGACCCGTGACCAGCCCCAGGGACCAGGTGGTGACCCGTGACCAGCCCCAGGGACCAGGTGGTGACCCGTGACCAGCCCCAGGGACCAGGTGGTGACCCGTGACCAGCCCCAGGGACCAGGTGGTGACCCGTGACCAGCCCCAGGGACCAGGTGGTGACCCGTGACCAGCCCCAGGGACCAGGTGGTGACCCGTGAGGGACCAGGTGGTGACCCGTGACCAGCACCAGGGACCAGGTGGTGACCCGTGACCAGCCCCAGGGACCAGGTGGTTACCCGTGACCAGCCCCAGGGACCAGGTGGTGACCCGTGACCAGCCCCAGGGACCAGGTGGTGACCCGTGACCAGCCCCAGGGACCAGGTGGTGACCTGTGACCAGCACCAGGGACCATGTGGTGACCAGCCCCAGGGACCAGGTGGTGACCCGTGACCAGCCCCAGGGACCAGGTGGTGACCCGTGACCAGCACCAGGGACCAGGTGGTGACCAGCCCCAGGGACCAGGTGGTGACCCGTGACCAGCACCAGGGACCAGGTGGTGACCCGTGACCAGCCCCAGGGACCAGGTGGTGACCCGTGACCAGCACCAGGGACCATGTGGTGACCAGCCCCAGGGACCAGGAGGTGACCCGTGACCAGCACCAGTGACCAGGTGGTGACCAGCGACAGGGACCAGGTAGTGACCAGCCCCAGGGACAAGGTGGTGACCCGTGACCAGCCCCAGTGACCAGGTGGTGTCCTGTGACCAGCCCCAGGGACCAGGTGATGACCCGTGACCAGCACCAGGGACCAGGTGGTGACCCGTGACCAGCCCCAGGGACCAGGTGGTGACCCGTGACCAGCACCAGGGACCAGGTGGTGACCCGTGACCAGCCCCAGGGACCAGGTGGTGACCCGTGACCAGCCCCAGGGACCAGGTGGTGACCCGTGACCAGCCCCAGGGACCAGGTGGTGACCCGTGACCAGCCCCAGGGACCAGGTGGTGACCCGTGACCAGCCCCAGGGACCAGGTGGTGACCCGTGACCAGCCCGTGACCAGGGACCAGGTGGTGACCCGTGACCAGCCCCAGGGACCAGGTGGTGACCCGTGACCAGCCCCAGGGACCAGGTGGTGACCCGTGACCAGCCCCAGGGACCAGGTGGTGACCCGTGACCAGCCCCAGGGACCAGGTGGTGACCCGTGACCAGCCCCAGGGACCAGGTGGTGACCCGTGACCAGCCCCAGGGACCAGGTGGTGACCCGTGACCAGCAGCCCCAGGGGACCAGGTGGTGACCCGTGACCAGCCCCAGGGACCAGGTGGTGACCCGTGACCAGCCCCCCAGGGACCAGGTGGTGACCCGTGACCAGCCAGGTGGTGACCAGGGACCAGGTGGTGACCCGTGACCAGCCCCAGGGACCAGGTGGTGACCCGTGACCAGCCCAGGGACCAGGTGGTGACCAGT